CCTTGTTTAATTATGCTAATCCAGCTACTAAAAAGTGTTATAAATATCACCATCGTCATTTTTATGCCAGGATTTTATAAAACTTTAACCTTAGCTAGTGTCTCCGATTTTCTCGCCCCACCTTATCTAGTTCCTAAGTTTCTCTGGCCTGTATGGAAGTCTGTCTTCCCTAAACCTCTGCTCCATGTTTATTGTGTCAGTCTCCTGCTCCCAAAGTTACTAATACTCCCTACCAGCTCCCACAGTGTCCAAGGTCATCTACCTGGCCTTTGGAGCTCATACATTGGTCCTTGTGTCTAAGTTGGTTTCTTTTGTTTTGTTTTGTTTTTCTGTCTGTTCTGCGTCCCAGAATACAGCTGCTGGTCTAGCTATGCAAGCCACTGCGTCTTGCAGAAAAGCTTGCTGTAGCCTCAATGCATGCCTGGTATATGGAAAAGACTCCATAAGTGATAGCTATGTTTACAGAATCTTCTTCAAGTCATTCCCGTCTTTTCTTTTCCTTCTTTTAATTTTCATTACCATAATAATCAGCCTTGCACCCCTTGGGATATAATTTTTCTAATTGGTTTACTATTTTAGCTACTTCATTTTTCCAAACACACTAACTTCCCAGGGACCAGAGACCATGCCTTCCATTTTCTCTGTGTTTTAAAAAATGCCTGGCATAGAAATAGTTGTTCTATAAACAAATGTTTACGGTTTTGTTGATTGAGTTTATTATAACATATTTGTTGTGACTTTATCTCCTCCAGTTATGTGTATTTTTATAGGCCCTTATATATACTACACAGCTTCATAAAAATGATATAAAATCGTAAGCTCACGTTTAAAGGCAACTCCCATCTTCCCAAGTTTTGTGTTTGTTTCTGTTTTTTATTTTTGCTTATAAGGAAGATAATGGTCAGAGATATAAAATGATCTGTCAAATGCAAAGTTATAAATCTACCTGGCAGCCCTACCAAACCAAGTAAAACTGTTAATGATAAGTAAAATGAAGAAATAGTTCTTTTTTTTTAAACATGCTAGTATAGTCTGTTAAGACAGGTGTATGTATTTATCTAATGTCTATAGAGAAAATGTAATACTACCATTTACTCTTTATTATAAGGAAAAAAAAATCTTGCTTCCCAGAGTTAGAAATACTTTAGCAGAAATGAATTCATTTAATTTCATAGACTCCCTGGGAAGAAATTTGGAGAACATATTAACTCTATACTGTGCATCAAGACATCATCCAAAAAGCTGAAGTGAAAGGGCTCAAGACTGGTCACCAAAATTGGTGGTTAAGACTCTAATCTCCTCATGCGAAAGCCACATCTGTCCATGGGACAACATAATGGGTTTATAAATATGGTCGGGTATAAAATCATTTTTAGATTAAAAAAAATCACATCAACATCTTCCAAAATAGTTCTCTACTGAAACTATTCAGAAGAATTGATATACAAGAACAAGGGGAAAAGCAAAAAGGGAAATCTGGACATTATTTCAAATTGTCTTGTTTCTTTGAATCATGCGGTCACACAGAGCATCAGATGGTGAAAGATGGAATGATTCTTCTCCTGTCTTTATGTGATCTGGAATAGTAACTCTTTTTTCCCCAGGATAAATTTAAATTACTATGGAGAGAAGAACAATATAAAAGATGAGAACCACTGCTGAAATTCCCATACAATCCCCAGGGGGATGTCCCAAATAACCAGCAAACCTCTCCTCAGAGAAGTGTTTAACTGTTACATGGTTAATCCATTTGGAACACCTTGTTCTAAGTGGAGAGACAAAAGAGATCGGCTGTACAGTCTTCTGCTTCAACTCCCAAGAAGACAACAGCGGATTAGTGACCAGAGAGACTTGGAAACTTCCATGCTTGTGATGTTTCTGAGTCATGGGATAAAGTTGATTTTGAACGATGTGGCTCATGCTTCAGCAAAATGTTTTGCTTTTGCAGATGGACCATATGGAAACTATGAACTGGCTTTGTAACAGGACCATGATGAGCCAATGCAGCATTTTTTAAATGTTTTCTGTCTCTATTCATGTGGTCCAATGAACAGTATACCATCAAAAGACATGGTCTATTACGTGCCTTTGTTTCAATTCTTAGTGATTTTTTTTTAATGTTAGATGTTTTTAATACAAGGATTAAAAAAAAAACAAAAACACTTTCATTCAATAAAAAAAAGCCTGAAATATTCTGGATGTTAAATATATTCTAATTCTTCCCTCAAGGTACTGGCCTTCTTTGATGCTTCAATAAAGACATGGTCCAAAAGGGGTAAAACAGTTATCAAAATCATAGGTGTCCAAGATTTTCTTTCCAATAAGATCCAGTAATAAGGTTTTTAACACTTTTCTGAGAGATTATAATTACCAAAAAAACCCAAAAAACAAAAAACACAAAAAACCCACCAACCCAACCTGATAAAATTATGATGCCAGTTTGCTGAGAAGTGGAAGACAAGCATAACCCACTAGACAATTAGCTTGAGAGCTACAAAGTGTTCATTCATGGTTTGCTGCTTTAATGTTTATTAGATGAATAACCAAGATGTCACTTCAAGATTAAAAATATAGCAAGTATTTTTTTCTGGATTGGGCTTAAAATTTAATGAAAAACTGCAGGGAGAAAAAAATTACGGCTGTTGGCACAATACCAAAATGGAACAAATGACTAGCACTTACGTGATTGCGTGTTTTGTGTAGAACGTGGGAGGGCTGCAGAATATAGCTGAAATTAATATGTGGAAAATCACTGCACTGGTTCCTTAGAGGTATTCAGAAACTATCATATGCACTCACGCAGCTTGTAAATCTTTGCAAAGGCTATGATGAAAAATGATTGTGTTTCATTACTATAATTAAAATATAGTGGTCTCAGATGCTTTTCTCAAGAAGTAATCGCATGAGACATAGATAATCTGGGTGCCGTTGTTTAAAAAGGAGGAGAATTTACAGACCTATAATTTCATTTTTTTTCCCGAAGAGATTTATTAAAACATAATTAGGTGGCTTGCCCAAGATTAGGACAGAATAACAAAATTTCCCCCATGTGATAAATGAGCCTCCTAATGCATAGATTATAATTCTCAGCTTTTGTTTGTTTCTATTTTGATCAGAGTAAACCTTGGAAGAGATTATGAAATTTCTTCATCCCAGTTCAGTATGATAAATATGGGGGGTGCCGTGTTTGTATTGTGTTCACGGCAAGTTGGCAGAACCAAAGACCAAAACTGACCAACTTCTATTCTTTACTACATATCTATATACCTGTGACCAAAAAGTGAATCTCTAGGATTACTGTTAAACCAATAAACACTCATTGTCACAGGAAGTAATCTGGACCCAGAAGAAATAATTTTCTACATGCTCTTTCATTTTCATCTTGCTTTGAAATTTTGAAAAGGCCCTTTACCTGTGAGTTTTATCTTGGTTTAAGGCTATAACCTATCTCTATGAAAGAGATGTTTAGTAACAGATTAGATGTCTATTCTTGTGACTCTTAGTCTTGTTAAGTTGCCTGTCTTCATTGATAGAATCAGCTACCCAACTACCAAAACATGTCTTCTCTTAGAACTGCTTCTGCTCTTTTATAAAAAGAGCTTAAAAAAAATGCTTTTGAGGGCAAAAAAGTGGTTCCAGGAGGTACTTGTTCATGTGTACTTGGTACCTGAGGTCCCACAAGACTACCTTACAGACAGCCTTTGTCTAGAACAGCACAGGGTGTGGTAAAACATTCCCTCCAAAATGGTACTTTTTGTTTGATGTTATGATTTTAAAACATATTTCTTTAATGATGTCCTTTGTAACTTATTAAAAAAAAAGGTTTTCTTAGAATTGGCACATAAATATTTGTATACCATTTATATGATGTAAAGGGGAAATGGCCTTCTTATATCTTGTGCTCCCCCCCCCATTTTGCTATTTGCTCTATTAGCCCAGTTCTGTGTCTGACAAACTTGCTCTTCCTTGTCCCCAAGTAAACCAGGACAAGCTCATGTTCTGGAGTAGGAGGTGGTTTTTATGACGCCATGTTTTTTTCCCTCCTTTATGATAATCACAGCTACTTTAGAACAATAGACGCAGCCATCGGGCAACACCATTTCAGTGGGACTTCAGACTTTTTTTTTTTTTTAACCATGTCACATTATATGCGTTCATGTCCCACTCACAGCTAAGTATGAAGAAGAGCCTTAAAAGGCATGGCACAATAAACATGTGGTTTTAATAAGACCTAATTTTAACTGCAAGGCTTAAATACTGAATGTACTGGTAATATCATTGTTTCGTTCGGCCTGTTAAGAAAGAATGACTGTGATCCTTCCTAATGGTGCATCGACTCCTTCAGGTCACTGGAAAGAGCTCCAGTCTAAATATATCTCCAACAACGGTAGTGCAGGAAAGAACACTCTGCCTTCTGCACGCAATGATGGTCCACACACTAAAAGCATTTCCAAACACGCAATTTAGGTTTGTTGGCTTTTTTTTTTTTTTTTCCTATTTGTGAGATCAACCTAAGTTCCATTTTTAGAATAGCTGTAAACCAATAAGCTAATGCTAAATGTAACAGATGCACAGGTAAAGAACCTTCTGTTGCTTTTAGCTCTTCATTTTGGAGATGGTCACTGGGGTAATAAAAAGGCACATCATCTTACAACCTCATTCATACGCTGCACGGAGAAGGAGGATTCGGAAGTTCTAGGCCTCTATGATATTTGCACATCTCTTCTAGGTACCAGTGAGGAAAACCACGGGGAAAGCAACTTTATAAATATAAAGGCACAAAGAAAACTGAAAAAAGCAAAAAAAAAAAAACCAGTTCCGGATGTAACAAAGGAGATGACACATGGTATGAACTTTTCAAAACACTCTACAAATCAAACCGCATTATTCAACAGGATGCAACAAAATCGGGCAAAGAAGCAACAAGACATCACGAGACGCGGGGTCATCTGAAAGAAGCAGTAACGGACACAAGCCACACAGAGGATTTCTTTTCTTACTTGCACAAGTATCTTGAGGGGTTTGAAAGGTCTTTCACCATGAAGCACTCGCCTCCATTCACACAGAAAGTTTTCTCCTTCTCTGCACACTTTACAAGATGGCTTGTCCCGGTTGTAGATGTTGACGTAGCTGGATAGAAGATAAAGAAGGGGAAGGTTTACATGTGTCTTTCCCTCTTCTCAACAGCCTTTAGTCTTACATCCTCTTCAAAGGAAGAGTTCACATAAGGTGCAGCAGACTTCGCTACACGTTCAGGTTTAATAAACAACGGCAAACAAGTGAAGTACTTTCTGGGTGTAACTAAATGGAATAAAATTATCAGAGGGTAAGCACAGTTAGTTACTTTAATTAGAATTGAAATAGGAAAAAGGCTCAACATTTTTTATAACCAGTATTTTATCTTCTAAGGAAGTTGGAAAAGAGAAGACCTACGGCCAGTAAGTAAAATAAAATTTTCAGGAAGGCTCAAATATAATGATATAAAGTCATGTCAGTGCAATTCAAGTTCAATGTCACTTTTGAATGGCAACTACTTATTTATTTTGGAAATTACGTTTTAGGTGTATATTTGACCTTACAGTTTTTAGATCTGTATATATTACATATATAGATATCCATATATATATAGAGAGAGATACAGATCTGTATCTATAGCTGTATCTATATCTATATATATGGCAAAGAAGAACACAAAGTAGCTTATTTGTTCCTAATAAAAAATATGTATCAGTTGAATATATATTAACATAGAGATTAGGAGTCATTCTATTCAAAATTTCTACTCTACTCCAAAGAACACTGTTGAATGTCTGGCTGCCACCATACTTTTGAGGAAATGGAAGGAGTCTAATAATTGTTGCAAAAGTAGAACAGCATGACAAAATTCATCCATTTTGAATTAGGAGTAGACACTGATCTTAATTTTGGTTTACAACTATGATAAGCTTGATATCCACTTGTCAAACCTCAGGTATGTGAGAGCAAATTGAAAATGATGGCTCCACCATCAGGCACACAGATTAAATAAACCCAAAGCACTCGGTCCTGAGACTCAAGGGCACTTCATACCCGAACTTATCCTGGCTTGCTCCCTTGCAAACACTGTAAGCAGTGCTCAGTCTCAACCCAAAACGTCTAACTTACATCATGTTCATGACCGATACTATCAGGATGAGAAGCAAAAACATTATGGTAAGCCCACAAAAACCCCATTGACTTTTTCATGAAAAAGAAAAAATATATACATGTATCTTTAGACAAAAACTATTCCTTGGCTACTGACTCATTCTTAGTAATTTTTAATTCCTGGACTTCCTTCTCAATTTCTATTTCACTATTTGCATGTGAAACTCAGATGCCCTTTTTTACTTTTATTTGACCTCTCGTGTATTTTTTCCCCCCATTTTCTTTGGCTTTTCTTCTTCATTTCCTTCATAAGTCCCCATTTTGTTCTGTTTCATTTTTGACTTCTCCAATTCCAGTTCTGACAGAAATACTCAGGGTGTGATTACTCAGTTTCCGAATTACATAAGGCCTTTCTTGCCTTGCATTCTCCCATTTAGGGCATGTTTTGGGGCCATTCATGACTCTCAGCATGGCTTTCAGGGGTAACAGCAAAGACGAATCAGACTGAGTTGCACTCTGGAGACAGGTCTGGTTTGAATCCCAATAGCTTTGCATCTTTGAGCACATCACTTAGCCACCCAGAATGCAATTCTCCCATTCTGAAAACAATGGTAATGGTACTCCTGCAGGATTTTTGTAGGGATCAGAAATAATCTAGGTAAGGGAACTGGCACAAGCCTGGCACTCAATGAGTAGTAGCAGGTATGATTACTGGGCAAGTAGGGAAGTTACTTAGTCAATCAGAAAAGAATCTTGACGATGGAAATCTGAGGATTTCAAAGCTGCAAGTTACTCTTGAATCCTTATTATGAATAATGAAGAACTGGGTCGATTTTTTATTACTCCAGAGAAAAGTCCTTTCAAAATGCATTTCAAGGTATCCTTCAGAGATATACAAACTAAAGCAAATGAACTTAAGGAGAGGAGGAAGAGAGGTGATTTCACACTGTCTTATCAGTACACTCTCACCTCTTTGTCAGGTAGAGCGCAATGTAATTGGCCTCATTTCGTTTCATAAAATCATGGAGTAGACATTTCTAGCCACCCCACAACATGTCATTTGAATCCAGTATTAGATCTTCATGTGAAAAACTTAGGTGCTGTGTATTAATATTTCCATCCACAGTAATTGCTTTTAAAAGATTATGCGGAGGAAATCTGCCTTAAATGTTAAAGGTTTTGTGCTTAAGACTCTTAAGTGCTGACAGGATACTGTGGGATGAGGAATTGGGCCGGGTTCCCTTGCTGCCCCAGGTGACAGTGCTGAGCGGACCACCTGCTGTGCGCTGTCACCAGTCATTCCCCCAGAAAAACTCTGGTCCTCCAGCAGACCCCAGTGGTCTCTGAATCCCTGACAGGTTGCCAAGGATTACCCTTCACCCAAGCCGAGCAGCAGACATTGCACCAGGCTCTTCCAGAACAAATCCTGAGGCTTTTCCTAAAAACAATGAAACCCCCATTCCCAAGAGCAGACACTCCATACACATTATAAAACTAACAGTAAAGATTCACAGTGATAGAAGCATCATACCTATCATACCTATTTCATACCTATTCCTTGGACTTTAAGATAAGTAAGATTGATAACTGTATGCTGAAACTGGAAATAATCCCCCCAGCCCCCTGGAAGGAAAAATAAAATAAGATGAAAACAGAGAGGAAGGTAAACCATAAGACTCTCTAACTCTAGGGAACAAACTGAGGGTTGTGGGAGGGCGTGGGTGGGGGGATGTGGTAACTGGATGATGGGCCTTAAGGGGGGGGGGCATGTGATGTGATGAGCACTGAGTATTATACGCAACTGATGAATCACTAAAGTCTACCTCTGAAACTCATAGTACAGTGTATGTTAACCAAATTGAATTTAAATAAAAAATTAAAAAGAAAGGAAATAATCCTTCCTTTTTTTGGTTTTTAAAAATATTTCCCCCTGAAACGATTATCCTTTTCATGCTATCCTGCAGCACCAAGTTATGACCCATTCATTTGAAAAATTCTTAGATCATCACCTAAGGCTAGCAAGGGGATATCTGATGATTAAATGATTCTTGGAGGAAATTCAGTAGCAACTATCTTAAACGATCATAGACTATTGTGCTTATTAGCACTTCTATCCTTGAGCCGCAGCAAGAACAAAAATGATTGTGGAATTGGAAAGCAGTAATGAACTCCCAGGTGATGTTAAGTGTCAGCTGACTGGGTACAGCTGTTCTGAACCAACAGCCAAACGCAGGAATAAGTTGTAATTGTCAGAAGAATCTGGGATGGAGATGCTGATACATAAACCCTTCAGATTTTTGCCAGGTTTCCTTTTATTCTCCTTATTTCAATGCAGTGCATAGTCGATCTTAAGCAGATCTATAAATTTTGCAATGAAACCCTTCCTCCTTGGCTTACACATGCTGTATTGCTAAGTCAGTTTCCATTTAGGACTTCTGCCAGAAATTAATGAAAACAGAGCAGGTTCTTAGACCTAGCTATGGAAATGACATTCTTTCTGGGGGAGCTGGGAGGACTCTATCAGAGGTGGAGCTAAAGGTTGCGCAGGTAGAATGTGTTTCGATATATAAAAGATGACCCTCACAGTTGTCCCTGGAAGTAGGTGAAGTAGATCCCACTCCTTTGGTACTCAATAAACCCAGCCTCTCACCACTTTGTGACTAGTCTGTCACCTTCTCATAAGGTGCTAAATGAACAGCAATTAGGAATACTGCAAAATATGAACCCACTATCTTTATGCTTGCCATTTATTCGTATACTTTGTCCCAAACACACTTTCCCTGAGATGTGAGCAACTACCATATTACAAGGAAGAATGTATAAATAAAGCAGTAACTTGTTACCAGACAATGAAACACTCTGGAGCGTTTCACTCTTGACCTGGTCTCTCCGGCACATAGGTCAGGACTAATGAACATGCCTGGAGAGGCTGGACAGTTCTTTGACTTAGCCAACGATTTGGAGACCAACATCACCATTCACAGACTCCCCAAATCCTGCCCCACACGGTCGGGCTCCCTTCTTTCTAGCCTGCCTTCCTTCTTTCCTCCCTCTCTTCCATTCTTCCTTCTTTCCATCATTCCTTCCTTCCTCCCTTCTACAATTCTTTAATGATTGCCTATTACGTGCAAGACATGAAGATAACAACTAGAGTTACAGGGGTTAAAAACTGTAAGACTGTGAACAATTCTTCCTAAAAGGAGACCTTTATAGATAAAATGTAGTGAAATGAGTACTGGAGTTAGCTAAGAAGATTCAGGTCCAAAGCTCAATTTTACCCATTACTCTCATCCAGCTAAACTGCCTCAGTAAATTCTGCTACAAAATGTGCTGTCACAGGGTTGTTGGGAAGTGTGATAAAATATTTTGTCAGCACGCAAATATATGATACTACTACTATTACTAGTGGTATAAATGTGGAACAAAGAAAAGCAAAAAACACGTCTGTTCAGAGTCAGGAATTACAAATAATCAAGCCTCAAATGTTCTTTATATATTATTCTTCTACAAATTATGAAGAGAGATTGTCTAATTTGTTAAATTACAAATGATTACAATGTAATCATTTGCATGATTACAAGGCATGAAGTACATATAAATAGTCTACTCTATTTTAACTGTATTAAAACCTCTTCTTAATAACTAATAACCACTAAATTTGCCTGTATGTTAAATTGAAGAATAATCTGAGTTAAAAGAACAGAGTCTTAAATGTGTGATTATTTTCAACTTCCAAGATGCATGCAATTCTTTAATATTTCTGACCAAAGTTCCAAGTTACTGACTCAAGTGTAGTTGTAATATTGTTATTTTAACAGTTTCAAACTATAAAATACAGAAAAATTGTGCAATGTTCATACTGTATAGGACATAGTATAAGCTGTTTATTACGGAACATTTTGGAAGCCACACATTACTGCACATTTTTACAAATACGCTGTAAAAATCTGAGGAGTAATGAAGCGCTCTCTGTTCATCACTAAATATTTTCCCACAGAATCACA